TCTCTCTCTCTCTCTCTCTCTCTCTCTCTCTCTCTCTCTCTCTCTCTCTCTCTCTCTGACTATATTTCGATGAGTTCTAGAACGTATTCAATAACCAATAGAAGAATTAGTCTTTTGGAAATTATTTCTTGAAAAATAACTTTTCTTATTGCCGAATGCCGAAAACAATCTAACATACACCAAGGTAAAGTGTTGTAATTTCTTTTCCCCAGTTACAACTGGTCCTGCATTCACTGTCCGACGTCAATTAGTTCGTATGTGCGGCCACCACGCTGCGCGGCGCTACAAGCGACTCACAGCTCGGATCGATGCATTCGAGCAGTGACGTATTTTTTAGATGAATTTATCAGCAATCACGTCGTAAAAAACGAGTTTTGTACGTATCACTTTAGTCCTCGATACAACCAGAAACTTCGTGTTTCGCTCACGAATGCAGAATTTGTGAATGAGCGCGTCAATCGACGTGCACGGGTCGAAATTCACCTCAGCGCAAGTTCTTTTCTTTTTAGCGCGAATACTTTAAATCGACTAACGATCAGCGCCGCACGCAGGGACGACGTTGCCAAATGTACGCCTTCATCGTCATAGGTGTACTCGCGCGCGTGCGACTCACGATTGCACTACTTCGTCAGTGTATCGTCGTCGTTGCTACAGTCACGTTGTAATGGTGAGTACACGTGTTTGGACAAGCAAACTACTTTAAAAAAAGAAGAAAACGCTGCTTAAAAACTTTGCAATTATCTGCGTGCTTCGCTTGTATCGATCGATAACAACGAGGCATTTATTTGCTGAGAAAGTGCAAAAGAACATCTTCAAGTTTTGATTCATCTGCACCAATGGTAATGAACTATCAGAGTAATCGAAACAATATACTTCGAAGTTTTTATTTCAAAGAATGACGTTTTGCTTATTTCCTAGTGGCAAAAATGAGATTCATGAATTAGTAGTGTTCGCTCCATTCGCACTGAGTCATTGCAATCGCGAGCGACTATTCGAATCGCTCGATTCGTCGCAACTTTTTGGAGCGCGAAAAAGGGTACACATTTAAAAAGTCATACGGTGATATCCCTACAAGATTGTGAAGTTACAAGAACGTTGTCAGCGTCATCGCGGCCACCGTATTTCCGTGATGAGGCGCCGTTTACGCATGTTTTTCTCATCGACGGCGTCGAGTCGTCGTAATTGCTAGCCGTGAAAAAAAAACTCTACGCTCGACCGGTCCTTCGCTCATATGCAAACACTAATGACGAAAACGCGAGACTGTATATTAGGATCATGGCACGTAAAAAAACGTAAGCAGTAAGATTTTTAAACAGTATGATAATTGGCGAATCACGATCAATTATTCTTGAACCATAAGAAGAATAATGGATTGTGATTTGTCAATTTACTCAAATTTTAATGCTCACGTTTTTCTCCTTGCCGCATTCATTTTTCGGGCTTGCGCGCCCTGCATACTTGCCCTTAGGTCACCGCCGTTGTAGATCCGGCAACAGTGCGCGTTCACCAGCGCCGCGGCGCGGCGGCGGCGCGTAATCCAAGCGGGCGCGTGTGTTTTTGTATTCGCATCGCTATGCCCTGTGGGTCGGGGCAACGACGGTGGTGGCGGGGTATGCCAATATGGTGGCAGCTGTGCGGCCGAGCGAATGCGCTCTCGAGGTGTATCTCACAGATTACTTGACCGCGTGCAATGGACCGGTCTGAGTGGCCGACGTTAACGTACGACGCATTGATCTCGTAGTTTACGCAACATCGCGAAACGCTATGCGATCATCGGCGATGCGCGTTTGACGTGACACGCTCTTTTCGTCCACAAACCGGGCCGAAAAAAACAGCACCCTGCGCGCGCGAGAGAGAGAGAGAGAGGGGGGAGAGAGAGAGAGTGTAACGGGTAAAGGATTCTCTAGCCCGCTGCGCACGCTGTCACTAGCAATATCCCGTAACGCGCCCTCCTCGTCAAAGCGTCGTTCCTGGATCGAACTATCTTCGTCGCCGCCGCTGCTGCACGTCGTGACGGGATCCGCGCGCGAGGACTCGCGACGCTTGCTTTGTCATGGTGGGTTTTTCATTCTCTATTCATAGAGAAAGAGGAAGCTTAGGAAAAAGAAACGGAGATGCGTCTGAGAGTCCAGAGCACGCGCTTCCCATCGGAGGCGCGTATTATGTCCGTTTGCCTCGTCCGCACGAGAAAACCGATTTAATCTAAGATTCTGCGCTCGCGATGCATATTCCTCGCTCTCGTGGAAGCGACGTCTCACACCTCCTGTCACGCTTTCTGTAATCTTTCGCGTCATGATCGGTATCGCAAATAATCTCCCGTTTATTTTAATCATGCGTTTGTGTAACGTGCATACTTGTTGGAGGATATTACCGTTCTTAATCGTAATTGATTGTAAATTTTCAGTTATTGATTTACATATAATTTTCATATCTCAGTATGGAATCAATTGGTTAAATTATATACTTCTATCTTATGACCATATTTCTATTGCTTGTGGGCAAATCATATATTGTCTTAATTTTTTATTTACCACATAAAATATTTTCTGTTTGTAGGCAACAAAAAAGTATGATGATGGAATAAGCGATGATACAAGTGGGAGTGATTTTGATGATGAAGAAGATCCTGATAAAATTGAAGTACCTGGTAAATTATTATGCTATACCTTATAAATTATACATATATATCTTATTGTCGCAAGGTCTTGGAATTTCTTATTTTGCACAAAATGATGCAATTCTGCATGTAGATTAGAGCACATGTTTCTTTTATAGAAGTTAAGAAATCTTATCCAGATAAAAATTATTCTAGGTGGAGGTAAGGATCTTGCAACTGCAGCGGGAATTGCAAATATCAAGGATGAAAAGCCAGATTTGTCTGCAAGTCCTTTAGCAAAAACACAAGGGGCACTAAATGGTGAGTTTATAACATTTAAAGTTATGAATATCCTTCCTTTTTCCTTATTTTTAGAAAGCATTCACAAAAATGTATTCTCTGAAAATTATTTTTAGCGCTAAACCAAAAGTTTGGTAACAAAATTCCTGGCGGCTTAGTAACAAAACCTGCAGGATTAGGATATGAAATGGGACATGTGGGAGGATCACAAGGTGTTCCACCAGGTTTTGTTGGTATGAACCAACTAAATCAGTTGAGTCAGTTAGCTAGTGGCTATGGTTTTCCACCAGGACTGGCTACTCTTGCAGGCTTCAACCCTGCTGCTTTTCTTCAGCCGAGTAAGCATATTTTTCTAATATACTTAATTTTGCTTGAAAATTAAGATTTTCTTCCCTTAATTCGCTTTCCATATGGTGCTTTCACTTGCACAAGAGTATGTATAAATATGATCTGTGCACATACTTTACTGATAAATTTTTATTAAATAATTAATGCTATATTTATTTATAATTAATTATGTGTAACAGATTTACTTGTAAAATATCTCTATATATATAATATAACCATTATATATACGCATAAAATAATATTCTTATATTGTAGTATTTTTTTATGATGATTGCAGATTATTAATTATACTGTAATCATACTAATGTAAGCCAATTGTTCTTTAGGTATGGACATGAACGCTTTAATGGGCAGTTTTATGGGTATGCCTGGAATGAACATGGGAGTTAATCCCTTCGTTCAGTTCCTTAATCAAAGTGGTATAGGCGGTCCAAATTGGTCTGGACTCTCGGGTATTTACAGTCATTTAATGTCTCGATTCTAGGCGTCGCGCTTACTACAAACGAGTTCCTGTTTTTTTTCATTCTGTCGCAGGCAAGGCTGTGTCACAAATGTGGATGAACTCTGGTGATCCAACCAAACTAATGCAACCACCTATTCCAGAGGAGGAGGAAGTAGATGATGAAGATATGGGTGTTGCCGAGACTTACGCCGATTATATGCCGATGAAACGTACACAAACTAATGTTTATTTCAATTTTCAATTTACAAACTTATATTTGCTCCCAACTAAGATTTGCGATCACTTACAGTGAAACTCGGACGCAAGCATCCGGACCCAGTTGTCGAAACGGCATCCTTGTCGAGTGTAGAGCCGACAGACGTTTGGTATAAGCTTTCCATGTCGGAAGAGACGATACGTTCCGGCGTGCTTTCCGCACTCCAACTTGAATCCATTACGTACGCGTCCCAACAACACGAGCACCTGCTGCCCGACGGTTCACGCGCCGGATTTCTAATCGGCGACGGCGCGGGTGTCGGCAAGGGTAGGACTATAGCGGGAATAATTTTCGAGAATTATCTGAAAAGCCGCAAACGTGCCATCTGGGTATCGGTGTCGAATGATCTTAAATATGATGCAGAGCGCGATTTAAAAGACATAGGTGCATCCAGAATAGAGGTATATAGCTTATGCTTTTGCGTTAAATACATATTGATGCTGTTAATATTCGAGTAATGTAAAAATTTCAATTTTGTTCGTTTATCATGAATATTGTACGAATTTGAAAATTGCGGATAATTACAGAATATTAAAAGTACCAATGGCTAAATCAATTTGCAGGTACACGCCTTGAATAAATTCAAATATGCAAAGATCTCGTCAGCTGTGAATGGCAATGTGAAGAAAGGCGTAATCTTTAGCACATATTCTGCTTTGATCGGTGAATCTTCGCAGAGCGGCGGAAAATACAAGAGTCGATTGAAGCAGTTGTTGCAGTGGTGCGGCGAAGATTTCGACGGTCTGATAATCTTTGACGAGTGCCACCGGGCGAAAAATCTATGTCCTACTGGTAGTTCAAAACCCACGAAGACAGGTACAACAGAATTGCGCGTGAAATCGTCTCGAGCGCACGGATGTCTTTATCTACAATATGAAATTTCTGTAGGCTTAACGGTTTTGGAGCTACAAAACAAACTTCCGAAGGCCAGAGTCGTTTACGCCAGTGCCACTGGTGCTTCTGAACCTCGCAATATGGCGTATATGGTGCGATTGGGGATGTGGGGTGAGGGTACCCCTTTCCCCGAGTTCAACGATTTTATCACCGCTGTGGAGAAACGTGGTGTTGGCGCGATGGAGATCGTGGCAATGGATATGAAGTTACGCGGCATGTATATTGCTCGGCAATTAAGTTTTCATGGTGTGGCTTTTAAGATTGAAGAAGTACCCCTCTCCAAGGATTTCACAAAGATATACGATCACTCAGTGCGATTGGTGAGTTTACCACGTGATAGAAAATGAACTCTTGCGTGAGTCGCTTGAAAAATGCTTTCTATTGCACGCAAATCGATTCCGGTTTCTAGTGGGTAGAGGCGATGCAAAGGTTCCAAGAAGCAGCAGAGTTGATAGACGCTGAGAATCGTATGAAGAAAACTATGTGGGGCCAGTTCTGGTCGGCACATCAACGGTTCTTCAAGTATCTATGCATTGCTGCAAAAGTGAAGCACGCAGTCTTGGTGGCGCGAGAAGCCGTGAAGTGCGGCAAATGCGTAGTCATCGGTTTGCAATCTACTGGTGAGGCGCGCACATTGGAGCAGTTGGAGCGCGACGATGGTGAACTCACCGACTTCGTTTCTACTGCAAAGTTAGTGGCACTTTTTGATTGTAACGAGAACATATCGTGTACCGTTGCTAATAATTTCTATATTTCAGGGGTGTTCTTCAAACATTAGTGGAGAAACATTTTCCCGCACCCGACCGTAGTCGCATTCAACGTCTTTTGGGTTTGGAGCCATCGAAGTTTAGGTTAGAAGACGATGACATGGACGGTGCGAGTGGTTCAGCGGGTGGTAGTAAGAGGAAACCTGTACGTCAAGCGGCACAACGTGCATCGAAAAAGGTACGCACTTGGTCGTCAGAAGAAGAGATAACGGACGAGGAGAGGAACGGTGCTCACAGTTCCGGTTCTGAATTTAAACTGAGCGGCAGCGAAAGTGAAGACGATCATCATACCGACGAAGAAAGCAATATTAGTTCGGATTTCAATCCCTTTTTCAGTGACAGCGATTCTGATGTTGGTAGGTTGATATTATAAATTATTCTGATTCGATCTATTTACTGATTACTTTTGTTTCTTTTTTTTTTGCTAATTTTATCTTCTGTTGAGCGCAATCTATTTAATGAGCACAATTTCTATATATTTATCACGAAATTTTTATATATTAAGTCATTTTATTAAAAAAAAAATTATTGACGAAATTGATATATAAAAGAAAACACTCTTTTAGATACCTCTCTAAAATATTAACTATAAAATATACCTATCAGGCGCCTTGTGTCCGACGAAAGGCTAAAAAAGTCACTCCATTATTTGTTTCTAGATCCCTGGGATAGACGAAAGAAAAAGGGTAATAAGAAACAAAAGAAGCCCGCGAAGAAACGTTTAAGCACGCAGGACAAGATTCAGTCGATGTTGGTGCACAAGTCATCTACTAACAAGAATAAACGTAATGGCGATACCGCCTTGAGCGGGCATATGGGCATAGTAGGAAATATTAATCAGGCGCCTCCTAGAGACGCCATTGAAAGAGCTTGTAGCATGAAGGAGGAGTTATTAGCCAAAATAGAGGCTCTTGGCGAACGATTGCCACCAAACACGCTAGATCAGCTAATAGATGAGCTCGGCGGTCCGGAAAACGTCGCGGAAATGACAGGTAGAAAAGGTCGCGTCGTGCAAACAGAAGACGGTGCAATACAATATGAATCTAGGTCAGAAGTGGATGTTCCTTTAGAAACCCTCAACTTGACAGAGAAGCAAAGGTATCTATCAGTTATTAATTATATCACAAATTTGGCTAAGTTTAATATGATTTTAACCTTTTTTATTTCAAAGTGTTTTTGACATTTCTTCTCAAACAATCTGTAGAAATTTACTTCGCGATAATATCGTGTATTTTGCATTCTTAATATTTAGCAAATTCAACAACATTTACAATAATTTTTTTGTATTGAACATACTACTAATGAATAAGAATTTGTATAATCGGTTTATAAAATCGACTAAAACGAAATGCGATATCAAGGTAAACTCGACATGAGCATGTAAATGATTAATGTAGCAAAAATCTAGTGTGATGCAAAAGAATTTATATAATCGGTTTATAAAATCGACTAAAACGAAATAAATCGATTAAAACGAAATGCGATGTCAAAGTAAACTCGACATGAGCATGTAAATGATTAATGTAACAAAAATCTAGTGTGAGTAAATCGATTAAATGTTGATGCTCTTAATTAACTATCTGTCTCATGTATGTCAGGTTTATGGATGGAGAAAAAACCGTAGCGATTATTTCCGAAGCGGCCAGCAGTGGTATATCGTTACAGAGCGACAGACGAGCAAGAAATCAAATGCGACGTGTGCATATCACGCTCGAGTTGCCCTGGAGCGCGGACAGAGCGATACAGCAGTTCGGGCGAACGCATCGATCGAATCAAGTCAATGCACCGGAGTACATATTTCTTATATCGGATTTGGCAGGAGAAAGGCGATTCGCATCTATTGTCGCGAAGCGCTTAGAGAGTTTAGGCGCTCTGACGCATGGTGATCGCCGAGCGACAGAAACACGAGATCTCTCGCAATTCAATATAGACAACAAGTATGGTCGTACGGCGCTGGAAGCAACAATGAAAGCCATAATGGGGTAAGTAGGAATGAAAGTTTAAAATATTATGCATAAAGTAATGAAGGTAGAAAGATTAATAGGAATAAAATAGCCATGAAAGCGAGCCTTTAATATAAAAATAATTCACATGAAAAATAACCTACATGAAATACATTTTGAGAAAAATGAAGAAATTTTGAATATCTTCTTTTCAAGAAAGAATTTGATACGTAATTTAAGTTAATTGCTTCATAAACCAATCTTTTTAGGAGTTTTTTCAAATTTTAACAATATATTAATTGAAACATATGATCGATGTGTATGTGTAATTAGAAAAAGATTGACCATGCTGAAGCTGAAATAATTGAAGTCAAAATTAGCATTATTTATATGTATCATAAGTACGAAAACAACTTCCGATATTATGTTTTTAATTCTAGCAACCTAATTTTTTTTACAGTTTTTATTGATACGATTTTAACGTTTCTTATTTTTATTTTAAAAAATAAGAAAACGATAAAAGAGATTTGTAGGAATATAAGAAAAATTATAATATCGTTGACCACCTAATTTTCAAGAAATTGATATATAAATGACACAATTTATGATAATGGTTGAGATATATGACTATGCACGTTAATCTGGTTTAGTAACAACCGTAGCTAGTGGGCTATCGCATCCGATATATTCTTTTAGGTCTAAAAATATACTTCAATTAAATACAAGAATTTATTAACTATGGTTGTTATTAAGGGCTTTCACATACAAATTGTCGTAACGTTAACGTAAGACGTACCGTAAAAATTGAATTTATATTAATATTTATATTAAATATTTTCGGACCGTAAGGTTACCATATTTGAGATTACTCAATTGCAATTAGTCAATTTTTACGGTATATTTTACGTTACGTTTATGGCAATTAGTATGTGAAGGTTCTAAGGGCTTCCGTACACAAATTTCCGTAACTGTAAACATAAGACGTAAACTTAAGCTGAAGAACTAATCTTATAATGATGTCTAACTAATCGATAACGATTAGTCCGATTTACGGATGTCTTTGAGACGTCTTTAAAAGATTGTGCTATCTGGGTAAGATTATTTAATCATCCTATCTTTAAGAAGATATTTAATCAAGAGACTCCAAAGAAAATATAGTACATTAGGGATGCGTTTCACTTAGTACTTGCATTGACTGCAGCATTATTCTACCGTTATTTAACATGTAGTGAGAAATATAGTGAGAAAGATAGAATGATGTCGACGCGAACGCAACATCATTTAAGTAGAACGCATCCAAAGTATTACAAAATCACGGATTCAAAGACGGATGTTGAATTAATCAGGATATTACTTTATCTTTGCGTACTCTAGAAGAAGATAGAAATAACGATGTAATTAGAACTTAGAGCCGGTTGTCCTAACTTCTTAGTAAATTAACTGATAGTGGCGTTAAATCATATGTCTGTCCCCTTGTTTTTCCTTCAACTTAGATAAAAACAGATATAATTATTTTATTAACAGATGTAATTATTAACAGATATAATTATTTAATTATCAGTTAAATTACTAAGAAGTTGGAACAATTGGTCTTTAGACTGAGTAACCAAAATTTCAAGTGGTTGAATTCTAGTTACTTCTATATAACAGTCAGTTTTATCATCTATCTTTTTCTAGAATACGCAAAGATAAAGCAATATCCTAATTAATTCTTCAGCTTAAGTTTACGCCTACGGTTACAAAAATTTGTGTGTGGAAATTCTAAACCCAACGTTGCCGTATAATAAGGTTTATTGACAGCTAATCTATAAGGCTGGGAACAACACATATATACACAGACACATACATAAAAACGTAAGTAGTAAAACTGAAACAGTAGACAAATTGACCAAACACAGTCGATGATTCCTTTTATAGTTTAAGAATAATCGATTGTGATTGGTCAGTTTTCTTATTGCTTATGTCTTTTTTTTCTGTGTGTTTGGACCTTAATGATTTTGTAATACTTTGGGTGCGTCCTACTTAACGTTCGTGTCGACGTCATTCTATCTTTCTCACTGTATTTCTCACTAAATGTTAAATAACGGTAGAATAATACTATAGTCGATGCAAGTACTAAGTGAAACGCATCCCTAATGTACTATATTTCCTTTGATGCCTCTTGATTAAGGTCTTTTTAAGGGGATGCTAAAGCTGAAAACTTTACCGATAGAATACTTAAATTTTTGTGCAAAGTTTACATCGTATTGGTTACACAGAATTACATTTGCTTTTACGCAATGAAAGTACGTGTAAAAATAAATAGGAACATTATGTCGCTCGATATGCGACGAAAACGAAGAAAAAATTTTTAAATCTTAAGCTGTCAGCGTAATATTTGCCTAATCCAAAAAGTTCCGCAGTATATACCGAAAATGTGGATGCTCCAAACAGAAAAATTTTGAAGAACATTGCTCTACCTTCGCATCTGCATTTGGAAACTTAAGAACGTCAAAAAAGTTTGCAGAAAGATTTCTACATATATATGTTAGGTTTTCTGTTGAATATAGTAAAACAAAGCAACATACATTCATGTAAGTTTTGTATATACAAGAAATACGAAAAGAATAGCGTGATTATGTTAGTGACGATCGTCATTATCGACATTGTTTGTCATCGACTCTAGTACTCCCTTAAAGATAGGATGATTAAATAATCTTACCCAGATAGCACAATCTTTCAAAGATCTCTCAAAAAGGATCCTGAAGACATCCTTTTAAATATCCGTATAAGTCCCTAAGATATCCCTTGAAGACCTTGTGCTATCTAAATAAAGATCTAATCTGTAATTGATATATAAAAATGCCATAAGGTAAAATATGAAAAAAATTAATATCACAATTATTTTTATAGTAGAGTACATTAGTATGCGTTTATCGGAACGTATATGTTTATAAATATGTACCTAACACGGACAGTTCTAACTAAATGTTAGTACATCAAAGCGCGAAAAACGATTATTTCTTTATGGGTTTTTAAAAATTAATTGATTGTTTAATTAATTAATTATAAACATATTTGATTTATATTTTTTTGTTATAGTATTTTGTTATATTATTACACCGGAGCTGTATATTATAAATTATATTTATATATATTTAATACATAGATTTGTAGAGCTTCTTTATGTTGTATATTAAACATTATAACGTAACTTTCGAGAAATATTGTCGCGAAACAATTACCTTAAAAAGTATAGATAACACTGAAGTTCTTCACAAATTGTTCAACAAGTTAAACATTTTTCTTTTTTATTTATAAGGTTTATTGTCAAGTTTAATCCCTAAAAAATGGATAAAAAAGATATAAAAAAATAAAAACTTTTTAATTAATTTTAGTCATCCATAAGACTTAAACATCTTTTGTTGTAGACTGATGCATGTAGAATGATGCATGGACTACTCATTGATAACAAAAATTAAAAAATCATAATTTTGTGAATTAGTTCATTCTTGCATAACGGGCTAAATAAAATCTGTTTTTTAACTGAATTGTCTGAACTGGTGTACACTGGTGCAAAGTAAGTTAGAGTGAGACAAAAATATTTTATTTCATTCTAACTTATTGTAACATTTGCACCATTTCAGCTAAAGAGAACATCTATATATTTTGATTGCACATAGGTGAAAAATAATAGATACACATCAAGATGTTTACATCGTTTGACGAAATTTTTAAAAGAAAGAAAACTATTCTCGTGTCGCGTTTTTTTTAAATATTAGATAGAAAAAGTTCGCACAAAGTTCCGAATACGTCTATCGCTTAATTGCAAAGTGATCTGAAATCAGAAGTTCTCCTATTGATTGATTTCCCATAAAACATGTTAGTATGATCGTTAGCTGTTATGCATTTTGCAACAGTTTTCTGAATTTGGCCAAGCCTTTCAATTAAATTCTTAGAATTAGTAAACTAGTATAGTATCGGGAATCACTGTTATACTAGTTATTGACTAGTGTTGTATTAGTCAATAAATAATTTATCACATGGAACTTTTGAAATTAATACCTTTTGTTTATTTGGACGAAACGCATAGCATAGCATAGCATAATGTTTCTTATTATACAGTGTGTCCCATAAGTTCGGCAACGGCAAGAAAACTCGGCAGGGGAGCATTTTAGAGAAAAATGTTTTGAATAAAAGTTGTAAGGCTTAAAAAATCGCATTTAATGACAGTAGTTATTTGACCTAAGATGACGTCGCCAAGGTCAGGACAAGGTCAACTTTGCTTTTTTTAGATAGAAATACATATTTTTTATTACGGCATTTTATTCTACGTGAAAAAGCAAACAACTTTTGTTTGAAAAAATTTTTTATACGACCT